TAAAAAAGAGAGCCTTTCTCAATTCCCTGCTCCAAAGAACCTCACGTGGCTTCAAGTTTATTTACGCTCTTGGATTTCTAAGAGTCTGCCTGAGACACTGTACCCGTTTAGAGGATAAAGTTCAGCACCCTGGACACCTCCTGCAAATTCTGGACTGGCATGGATTCCTTCCTGTTCCTTCGGTGTAGAAGCCCTCTGCCTTCACTGCTTTGGAGGGCGACATGGTGGCCACAGGACTGCATTTACACTCTTGCATTACATATCAGTCCTTTCTGCTTTCATCTCTGCATGTTTCATAAGCCAGGTGGTCCTTACACTCCTCAAGAACCGAAAAAGCCAATGGTGACTCCACAGGTAACAGGCACAAATGTCAGGCATATGATGACACAGAAGGGCTTCCAGCATGCACCCATTCCTGCCCTGAGTCCTACTTACCATTATGATGTACCAGTCATTGACAACGGTCAGCTCAAAGAGGGTCACTGCATAAAGGAAATGGAGGGGGGGGAAGAAAGCAAATACATGTGTATGATCTCCTTCTCTCTCTCCCCACCCCCAAATCTAGTAATACCTCCAACAACAAAAAATGCTACAAGAAATCAGCCACAGAGAAAGCGATGGACATTTCCTTCACTGGTCTTGATTTTTTTTTAGGACCCATGCAGATTAAAAGTAACTCTTCGGGAAGGACTGCCTGTGTAGAAAATGTAGCTGGGCTGGTCACTCGCAGGAACGTAGATGTCAGTTTTGGACAACGTTCTGGGGCACTTTCTATTGCTATTTCTATGTAAATCAGAAAACAGGTTCTTTTGCAGTAACTGATTTTGCTGATTTATTCCCTCTAAATCAAAAAGAGTAACAAAATATCCTTAATGCTTCAGTTTTTCCTCAAGTATACCTTCGAAGAAAGTAGAGACACCAGAACTGGCGGTTTTCATTCCAGCGAACACACCTATCTGTCTCAAACGCCACGGGTGGGCCACCGGTGGCCCACTGAATATGTTTCGACAGCAGCTCTTCTCAGCTCCAGCAAGCACACAGCCCAAAGCGAGGGATGGTGGCCGCTGCCGTCCCACACTAGCCTTCCCCCAAGAGACATGGGCTCAGGCGGGGAGACCAGGGCCAGTAGTGGAGCCCATCAAGTATCCTGCACCCTGTGCCTCACGGCCCACAACAGGGTCTTGCATTCACCCATATCGCACCCTGTCCACCTGGGGCTTGTGCTCTTACCAAAGCTGTTCAAGATGTTATCAAAGTTGTTGAGATAATAGTAGCCTTCTTCCATCACGGTCCTGTTCCCTATGGTGTGGTTCACCCAGCGGTAGGCATCGGCCACTGTGCTGGTGCTGAAAAGGAAAGCAGGAACATGCAGCTCAGGAGCCGGCTGCCGCTAAGCACTCTGAAAGGACAGGGCAGGATGGGGGAGGAAGGCAGGAAGAGAAGTACCCAGATAGGCATGGCCTCCATCTGTCAGCTGCCGTGCTGCGCAAGGCCACCAAAGAGTCATTTCTGCCCATCACTACGTGCACTCTACAGCATGTGCCATCAAATGGGCTTTTTTTTAAAAAAAATGCTGGAAAGTTTGACTGTATCGCTCTGGGAATGACTGGTGCTTTTCAATACTTTGTGCACCAAACATTCCAAGTTTCAAAGCTGAAACGAGGTCTACAAATCACGTTGCATATACCGATCTCCCTCTGCCCACTCATGCACGCCCACCTCTTTTTACTCCGTTTATCAGATTCAGACTGCAGGAGAAGCAGTAGGGGGGAAAAAGGGGTAATGAATGGAGGAGCAGCACAGGGATGTGGTTAGGCAAGCTGAGCCTCTGGATTTCAGGCACAATAATGCTCATTGCTTCCCGAAGGGGTAAGGCAGCCCTGGAATCTTAGGGGGGGGGTACTTTTGAACATTTTTTCCCAACCGTCCTTCCAAGTGGGATCACGGGAGAAGGTATTTTTAAAAAATCATGTAAGAAATGGAACTTTCATTTTAAAAGGAAGCAGCATCGTTTTTCCAAAACAGTGTGCTGGAAACTCAAGATTCTACACCAGGACGGCAAACCTACAGAAGGTTCGCAGCTTTCAAGCAACACAAGAACTTGGGTGAAGTTCTCAAATGGGGGCACTCACCCCACAAGGAAAGCGTAAAGAAAGACCAAGTGCAGATTCAAAACTGTGAAATGTTCAACCCCCCCTTACATTAAATTAAATTTGTTTCTCGTGGTAAATTACATTTTATTAACTTTTGGTGGCAAGAAAAATCTATTTCTGCTTATATAGCTAGTTTAATTTTTTTTAAAAAAAAAAACACCTAGATTGGTGTTTATTTTTAATTTCCAGTTATAAACTGGAGTGTTTTTATTTATTAAAAGGGGGTTGGATCATAGTAAAGGGAAAGTGGCACAGCATGAAGACGTCTAGAAATCTTAAGTGGCTCAGCCAAGAACTTCAGGAACTGCTTTTCCAGACAGAAGGAAAAATGTTGGACACTTACTTGCAACAGTTAGGGAACAGCTTTCCTGAGAAGAACTCCATACCAATAATGGCAAAACAGTAATAGAAGATGAGCAGTGTCAAGCCTAGGCTGGGGGAAAAGAAAATCAAGTCTCAGCAAAAAGAGAGGTATATGGCTTTTTGTTGAATTTTCTACAGTTGCATATTATGGGAATCCACGCTCCATCCCTTTCAGCCATATTTCTTCCACTGTGGAAAAGCTATGTGAATCATATTGCCTCTGCTTTTGTGGCGTCTGGGGTTACCCATGAACAAAAAAGCACCTCACACATTTTTTTTTTACTTTCCTCCTCTAAAAACAGGAAAATCGTGCCTCTAGGGAGCAGTTCTCTGACAAAACAAGCTGTGTTTGCCTACATTTTGTTTTTAGAAAAAAAAATCTCAAGTGGAGGTTTGTTTTCAAGATTCCTGAAACTTGCCTGGCCCTATTATATATGGGAAACATTTCACTGGGAATAATGTTTCTGGTGATGGTTCCTTCTGGAAACTGGAAACTGCAACAGACTGTGACATTTTAAGGACATCCTCCTTGATCAGATTGGCTTCTGAAACCTCTCCTAGGGCAGAGACCCAGGATTCTCCAAGCCTGCTTCCAAAAGTGAAGAGAATACAACAACTGAGGACAGGGTCTTTTCCCACTGCCCCACAATGCCTCTGGATGTTCTCCACTTTGAAACCCATTTAGACTCTTCACTGTCAGCATTCAGAACCTTTAAAAAAATAAATCTGTTTCTGTAGGACTTCAAAGACACTGCCCGTTTTTGGCTTCTTCCTCAAATAGTAAATTGTTCCTGTTGCTTCTTTCGGTTATGTTGCTATCTATTATTGTGCTTATGTATCCATACTTTTTTAAATACACACACATAGCCATGCACAACCTCTTTGTATTAGGCAAGGGGTGGCTATGTTGTCTGTTGCTGAAGAAGCCCAACAGTCTTGCACTGACAATTTAATTTGGCAAAGGTTTTTGTAGGCTGTAGCCCATGTCATAGAGCGCAACATCACAAGTTCCTGAGCACAAAAACCTACGGAAAAGAGGGACAAGAATAATGGAATGATGACATTATTTCTGTCCCACTGTCCCAAATAGATGAAGAAACCATATCTGGTTCTGAGCCTAACATAGAATCCTAGAATCATGGACTGGGATGCGGCCTGTAAGGTTTGTCAAGCCCAAATCCTGGCTCAGTGCAGGAATTGAAATCAAAGCAGATCTGACGGCCTAACATAGCATCCTAGAATCATGGACTGGAACGGGGCCTGTAAGGTTTGTCAAGCCCAAACCCTGGCTCGGTGCCAGAACTGAAATCAAAGCAGATCTGACAGACAGTCCCATTTTCTGTTGAAGGTCTCTGCTCTCACGGCACCCCATCACTCTCTGTTACCTGGCCATCCTGGGAAACAGTTCAAACATGGTGTCCAAGACGTTTCGGTAACGTTTCTTCAGCTTAAATAGCCTGCAACAAAGGAGAAAGATTATGTATTTCTTTCAGGAAGTGTCCGGCTGGCTTGGAATTTAGATGAGGGAGCAAATCAATAGTGCAAGTCAGAAAAGGCAGCCACTCTGTTTTGGCCATTCCCCTCCATCCACTGTAACATATATGGTGTGACATTCCACCCAGTGTTCCCTGTTTGTTTCCCCCCAAACACAGGTTCACTCTCTGGATACGTCTACTCTTTTTTCCGCTACCACCAGTGGATCTCTCATCCACCCTGCCCCACATATGCATCAGACACGTGCTGCCAATATGACTTGTTTATTTATCTTTTGGTTTTTAAATCACAGATGTTCTTTTATTATTGTTTAGGATCACTCATTAAACTTCTTATATTTGATTACACGTTTGCTTATTCAGGTGTTGTATTCACCTTAACCAACTCCTTAATATTCTCTGACTATCTATTCCACTTTACTATTCTGTTTATCTCCTTCTCATTCTCTCTAACTCTCCAACTTTCCAATTCTCTCTCCTAACTCTCCAAATCTCCTGTCTCTCTCTGTCCAACTCTCTTTGACTCTGCCCCTCCTGTCTTCTCATAGGCTCCTGCACTTGAGCTTCAGCTATGATAGACAGGAGTGACGTGGGCATCCCGCCACATATGGTATTCCAGACTCTGAGAAGAAGGGACAGCATCACACTTTCTCTCTCTGCATCCAGTTAGCACGGGACTGGGCAGAATTCCGAGGCAGCTTGGCAATATTGGACACTTTCCTTTGGATAATACGATGCTGCCGTCTTGCATTTTCAGAAGTGACTCAAAGATGCATCTCATGAATAAAAATCATAATGCAGGTAGCTACATAACTCTCTGCTGTATTGACCTGAGAGACACCACAATATGAAAAAACACCAGAAGAGGAGACAAAAGGGTGGGGATCAAGTAACTGACCATATCAAGCTGCCAAACCCTTGGTGAGATCCCTCTTTCCTCTAGTCCAGGGCTTCAAGACATCTGGCCCAGGTCTTTTTGAGCTTCAGACCCATTCACTGGAGATCCCAAACTTGAGCAGTTCTCGATTTCGGCAACACGCTCTAATGCAGTGGTGACCTACTTTAGCTTGACTCCAATTTGGCCTCTCCCTCTGTCTATAGATCAGTTTCTTCATTGGACAAAGGTATGGATGAACCTTTTTGTTCCACTTTTCCATCTGTCAAAATATGTGACTCACCTTAGTAACTGCAGAGGCCGCAAAACAACAATGAAATAGAAGGGTTCCATGTCAAAGGCCAGCGTCAGGAGACCCAAAAATGCGAACAAGGTGACTGAAAAATCAAAGCTGGAAAAGAGGGACAGAGAGAGAACTTTAAGTGAGGGATTCGTGAGACAACATTCTCCAAGCCTGTGACTTAAGTTCCCTTCACTTACAGGTTCCAACCAGAGGACAGGTACTCGATAGGCCCCAATCCAGTGATCTTCAGCAGCACCTCAATGCCGTAGACTATGCACACAAGAAAGCATAAGTTCAAAAAATTCTGCAATCTGAAAATCAAATACAATGGTGCCTCACACAACAATGTTAATTGGTTGACACAAGAAGGTATAAGTTCAAAAAAATGCTGCAATCTGAAAATCAAATATCACTTTGATGATGGTATAAACGAACATCTTTCTTTGCTTTTTGCACTTTTCTGGATTTGGTGCTGCAAAAAGTGAAGGAAGAACAGAAATAGAAAAATGTATGTGTTGGGAAGTTACATTTTTAAGTGGATATGCTTGGGATAAATTGAGAACCGATTGTTAGAGTGACAGACCAGAACTTGGGAGTCCTGAATGTTGACAAGACCAATGGCAGCAGTCAAGATGGTCTACAGGATCCCCTCTTGTGCTGACAACCATTTACATCTGTTAGAAACAGCCATGGCAACTGCTTGGGGGGGGGAGCGGTTAACTAATGAAAAAATGAGGGGTGTGGGATTTTCCCTTGCTTGGTAGTGAGCACAAGAGGACCTTCTTGACTGCTGTCATTGGTCTTGTCAATATTCAGGCTGCTTTTTCCTATGTAAAGTCTGACATCCTTTTTCCTGCTGGCAATGCAGGCATTATATTGTGCAGCGATATCCGACCACTTCCTAGCTTTTGGATGGTAGAAACAGAAGCACAATATCCCATATTCATAAACCAGAGTTGTTGTTTTTTTTTAAAAAAAAAATTGAATATTGCGCTCTCAAGATGCTTAGAGACTGGGGAGATTTAGTGACAAGACCTAGCAGAACAAGACTTACTTGTAAGGAAGACAATATAACTCCAAGGAACATCCCGGGGGAAGATTCCCCCTAGACAAGAAAAGAAAAAAAAAGCAGGAAGTTAACATCGCACAGGGGCCCGAATCATGTGGAAGAAAACGTATATTGTTCTGTACCTTGCAGCATGAAAGTTTCCACTAAGATCCAGAGGCCATTCACTGCCACCAGAGTATCTACAAAATATAGGGGGGAGAGAGAGAAACACACAGAGAGAAGAACAGCATTATCTTTCCACGATAGCACTGATTTGTTATGAGATCATTCAGATGGATGAACCTAGCAAAGATGTTGACTTTGGAATGCTTCACACGGGAATCAAGATTCAGTTATTTGTTTTATTTATTTTTTTATTTTTTTTACCAACTCTTTCAATACACTGGGAGCTGAAAAGATTCCCAGAGATGTTTACATCAGAAAAACAAACTATAGACAGTTACTGCCCTCACAGGATTAGAGTGCAGGAGACAAATGTTAACCCGGGTGGGGGGGGGGAGCAAGGAAAACCACTCTTTGGATCTTGAGAGGTTCGCTCCTGAACATCTACTTGTCAAGATGTGTTTCTGTCACACTATTCTCAGTTTCATGTTGCCTCAACTGCCTATTCGCTCTGGTTCCCCCGAGGGAAAGGATTGCTGAGTGACCATCTAGCTAGTAACAAGTTGCCACTGAGCCCAAAATCCAAAGATCGTTCAAAAAGCCACCCTCTTCCACATCTTCATCCTATAAGGTAGCTCAAGAATGTGTGACGGGCCAAAGGTCACCCAGCAGGTTTCCTGCCTCAGTGGGGACTAGAACTCGGATCTCCCAAGTCCCCATCTAGTGTTCTTCCCACTGTCCTATATCAGCATTATCCTATTCTCCTGGCATTTGCTCTAATAATTTTGACACACAGAGAAAAAAAATAAAACATCTGAAAACACATGTACAGTGGTGCCCCCCATAGTGATGATAATCCATTCCAAAAAAATTGTTGCTATGTGGATTCGTCACTATGCGGGGCAAAAAAGCCCATAGGAATGCATTAAAACACATTTAATGCGTTCTTATGGGCAAAAAGCTGACCATTATGCAGAAATCCTCCATGTGGCCGCCATTTTCGCTGCCGGGTAAGCGAGGAAAGGGCACGAACACACATCGTGTGGCCATTTTCTTTACCCGGTGGCCATTTTGGAACCGCCGATCAGCTGTTTAAAAAAACATTGCTATGCGAAAATCAGTAAGCGAAATGCTTACCGATCATTGCAAAGCGATGTTTTACCATTAGAAACATCGCAATGCGATCACTTTTGCGATTGGAAAAAACACATCGCTATGCAGATTCGTCGTTAAACGAATCGCTCATTATGCGGGGCACCACTGTACTGTATACAGTTACGTGCTCTTATGTCAATATTGATACAAACAAATGATTTGCCATTGCTATTTTCCCTCTAAGTGCATTTCCATGGCTCAGCCGGGATTTGAACCCAGGTCTGCTGAATCCTGGTCTGACACTCGATCCATATCCATAAAACCACACCAGCTTTCAGGCAATTTAGAGACAATCTGCAAATGCTCACAAATATTAGAAATATTATTGTCAGAAAAGGAAAACAATGGGTTCCACCTCCAGTGGAGCAGCCCAATGAAGAGTCTCCATGGGACACAACGGGTGTGTGTGTGAGAGAGAGAGAGAAAGGGGGGGAAGGAGGGAGGGAGAGGGAGAGAGGGAGAGATTAACAGGTGAAAGAAAATGAAAAAATTTATTGAGAGCAGTCATACCAAAGTTTCCAACTATCCAATTCCACAAGCTCTCACAAGTCCCGGATCTTGACATTTTCATGAAAAAAAAATGTTCTTCTATGATCAGCAAATGAGCTGAGGAACACGAGCAAGTACGAACAGGTATGTTTAAGAGAATCTGGAACACTTACACATAGTGTACTGGAAGGCTCGGGAATTGACAAGTATGTTAATGCCTGTCGCAAGAAAAAGAAGAGTTAAAACTCCGAAATCCCATTTGAGACCCTTTGTTCCCGCTCACCGCAAAATATTTCCATTACAAGTGTCCGTTTCTTGGTTTGATTTGTATGCTGCCTTTCTCTCTGTGAGGGGGACCCAATACACAGGACGTCCTCCAAAAACCAGCCACATTGTCCATTCTGGTGAGCCCGAGAGCCTCTCGCTCTTATTACTGAAATATGAAGTGAATTTTGCAAAAACTGAGAATGTATCCTTCGACTTGGAGCCTTGGGACTGTGGCTTCTCAGTGACTTAAGAGAAGGAGGTAACGGCAAAGGCTACCTAGTAAGCGACTAAAATGCAAGCAGCTAACTTTGGGAGGGAATCCACTTAGAGGAACGTCCGAGTGTGTAACAAGTTCTCATTTGCTTTGATCCCTTCTAAGTCCAGAGTTGGCCATCTTTGCAAGTTTGAAAGACGCCGTTTCAAAGGAAAAACTGACCTGGCCCATGACCTGACTTTTACTCTACCCACAGAAGTCTAAATGCATCAGCTGACGATCCATCCTCCACTACTGTTTACTGAAGACACAAGAAAAATCAAAATACACAGCTGATCCAAGGGGCGTGCGCAGGATCTGTCAAAGCATGACAGAGGCCTTGCGCCAGATCCTTTTCAGAAGATCCTTCATTTTCTTCTTTAAAACAAGCTACGCAAATTTGCTTTCGCGAACCAAAGGAATCCTGCCCATGGAGGCTTACGAAAGCAGCCCACGGGATGTACTTCTTAGCTCACTGCCATGTGCTCCCTCTCACCCCCGATGGAAGGAGTTCATTCATATGAGGACTAGCAACATGCAGGCTGTGGGCTGCACTGTGAACGCTCCAGAGATGCTAACATGCCCCTGAGCATCCCCAGAAACCTCCAGCACTGCCCCCCCTCCTTGTGCCCACTTCTTTTTCTCTCTTTCATCATAGGTGCACCTGCGGAGTGCCTGAGACAGGAGTTCTCCCCAGGCTGGAGAGGCTAGTCAGAGAGCATCCTGCTGTCCACCCAAAACCAGGTCAAGACATCTTTATCTAGATGCACCATTGGCTATCGCAAAAGCAAGGTTTTTGATGGCGGACAGGTTATGTTAGGGCTTCTTGTTGCAGTTTTCAACTGCATTATCCTTGTAATTACATTCTGGTTGTATTTTAACTGTTCTTGACCACTGGAATGCGCTCTGGAATAGAGCACAATAGAACTAAATATTATTATATTATTATTATTAATTCAGTGGGTTTTAATGTAATTAAATTAGGCAACAGGTTTTTAATTGGAATTTAAGCAAAACAATGTTTGCTTTTCAAGTTCATGTCGTGAGCGGCTTTGGGCCCTGCAAGGCAGAAAGATTTTGCTTTGCTTAAGCAGCGGGCTTTGAAAGATAGGATATAAATTAAATTAAGATGCAAATAATGAATGCTGCAGCAGAGCACCTGGAGTGTGAATCAACCCACCCACCCTTCCCCGGTGCCTCCTGCCCCTATCAGCAAAAAATCTTCAGGATCTCTGGGAAAACAAGCTTTAGCTCTGCCCTCCTTCCAGGGACTGTGCTGGTGAAGACAATCAGCAAGGATGCCTTTTCCGATACATCCTCTTTCCCGGCACTCTACAGGCTGATGGGGAATGGGGCATTCAGGGAAAGGCATCCTCAAGGACCCTGGATCGCAGAATGGGTTGGGAGCGATAGAGCAGCACATTTGCACCTAAGAGCTGGATGTGAGAGGCTATATTGCTGCATCCCCATCCAGCCAGCTCTCTTGTGCTGGTCCCTTTATCGGTTTCATCGGAAAGGCTACCGGTTGCTCGTCCCAAACAACATGATCTCCTCCTTGCACACAAAGTTCTTCCAGGTTCACGGAGCAGGAGTGGGCAGGTGAAAGTGAGGGTTTCACCTCTTCTAAATGATTCACCATGAGGAGTCCCACCCCCACCCAGTGTTTGAAAGAAGGTCTTCCTGCACAGGATCTCCAACTAATCATCCTCCACTGCCTGTGACCACACGCGTGTGCAAATGGGGGGGGGGAAATATGGGTAATTATTTCAGGAGAAGCCCTTTTTGATCAAAACAAAGCTTTCCACAGTCTTATAGTCTTCAAACCTCAGGGTGTTACCTTTAAAAATAAGGAATGCTGTCCGTGGAAGGTCATCGAACCAATGTTCACGGTTCCTTTTAGCCTGGAAAGTAAACAGGCCACAAAGCAAAAATAAGACTTCACAAGGCGTATCCTCCTTGAGTTCTCTTTGGCTCCTCCCTTCCTGTCTCCTTTAATCTATCTTGATTGATAGCTCAGTGGTTTAGATTGCAGAGCCAAAGATGGGGAGTTCGATTCCCCACTGGACTCAATGATCCAGAGGGTCTTCCAGCTCCCAAGTTCTCAGATGATGACGATGATGATCCTCCCCAGTCCATTCTGCTACCTGACATAAGGTAAAGCTAAAGGTTCCCCTTGACAATTTGTCCAGTCGTGTCTGACTCTAGGGGGCGGTGCTCATGTCCATTTCCAACCCATAGAGCCAGCGTTTCTCCAAAGACAATCTTCCGTGGTCACGTGGCCAGTGCGACTAGACACGGAACACTGTTACCTGCCCACCATGGTGGTACCTATTTATCTACTCGCATTTTGCATGCTTTCAAACTACTAGGTTGGTGGGAGCTGGGACAAGCGACAGGTGCTAACTCCGATGCATGGATTCGATCTTACGGCAGCTGGTCTTCTGACCTTGCAGCACAGAGGCTTCTGCAGTTTAACCTGCAGCACCACTACATCCCTTGCTACCTGACATACATCAGCCCAAATCAAAGAACACTCCCCAGAAAAAAACTTACCTTCCATTTTAAACCAACGCTAACTGACATACATCACCCCAAATCAAAGAACACTCACCAGAAAAAAAAACTTACCTTCCATTTTAAACCAACAACTTCATAGAAAGTGTACATATCCTTCAGACTGAAAGAAAAATGGTTTTCTGTAAGAAATGAATTTCGCACTCAAACCATCAACTCCCATGAATTTTAGATTCTCTACTGTTTACAGAACAGCAAGACTTCCTGGAAGGGGAACTGAACATCAAGAGGATTCTTCTTAAAGGTCATGGCCAGGTGTGAAATGCCCCACTATCAACAGCTTCTGCCCAGGAAACAAGCGATTTCTTCATTTTTGGGCCTTATATAAACGTATAACTATGTAGTCCCACTCTTAAGTATGAGAATGCGAACTAGTCATCAAACGCTCACATTAAAATATAGCTGTTACTCTTTAAGCTGCCACTGTGTTTGGTCTTCTTTATTTTTTCAATTTTCTTTTGTCTTTTGACCAAATTCGTCTATAGTCATAGCGAATACACAGAATAAGGTTTTCCAATTCCAGTTATTATTATAGGATTTGGAGTAGGAGGCTGGTTGACACTACTTAATTTGTGATGAATTAAATACATTCCTGATGAATTTAAAGTTCACTTAAAGAACAGATTTGCATTACTAAAGTCAACGGACCGTGATCCAAAAGAACTGTGGAGCGAAACCAATGATATTATTAGGGAAGACAATTCCTGTAGAAAGAAAAAAATAAAGTCCAAAATAACTGTGGAGCGAAACCAATGGTATTATTAGGGAAGGAAGCAAAAAGACAATTCCTGTAGAAAGAAAAAAATAAAGAAAAATCTAGATGGATGATGGAAGAAACACTTAAAATACCAAAAAACAGGCAAGAAGCAAAAAAATAAAAGGTGGCAGAAGTAGGATCAGAACTCTGAATGCAGTTTTTGAGCAACTGTCACATGGAGACAAAGAGAGCTATTATAATGTCCACTGAAAAGAAACAGAGGAGAGCAAAAAAAGATGAAAAATAGCATCTTTCTAGAAGGTCCAAGAAAGCAAAGGGAAATTTAAGCTTATAGCATCTGTCTTCTAGACTCTAGAAGATCCAAGAAAGCAAAAGGAAATTTAAGCTTAGATTAGGGATGTTGAATGACCAACAGGGAAACACGCTATCCAACCAGGAGAAAATCAAGAGAAGGTGGAGACAGCATACTGAAGATCTATACAGAAAGGATAAAAGTATTACAAACTCCTTTGAAGAGGAATCCTATAATGAAGTGTTACAAGCTCCTTTGAGGAGGAATCCTATAATGAAGAACCTGCAGTTCTAGAAAGTGAAGCAAGAGCTGCTGTGAAATCTTCTGGAAAAAATAAATCACCAAGAATAGACGCGATACCAATAGAACCGCTTCAAGCCACAGAGAATGAAAATGTCAAAATCCTAACAATGATATTGCCAACAAAGGTGGGAAACAAAACAATGGTTCAAGGACTGGAAATGCTCAACATACATTACAATCCCTAAGAAAGGAGATACCAAAGAGTGCAGCAACTATAGGACCATTGCTTTATTTTTCCATGCAAGCAAAGTGATGTTCAAGTGGTGAAACAAAGGATTTAAACTGATATGGAGCAAGAAATGCCTGATGTTCAAGCCAGATTCCAAAAAGGAAGAAGGACTAGTGATTGTGTTGCTAATATATACTGGCTACTGGAGTGCAACAAAGGATCTGTACTTCATAGATTACAGCAAAGCCTTGGACTGTATAGATCATGAGAAACTCTGAGTCATTCTGAAGGAAATGGGTGGGCCTCAACACTTGATTCTACAATGCACAACTTGTACTGTGGACAGGAAGCTGTCATTAGGACAGAATATGGAGAGACAGAATGGTTTCCTATAGGCAAAGGTGTCAGACAAAGGTGCATTTTAATCTTAGAACTGCAGAGCTGGAAGAGATTCCATGGATCATGGAGTCCAGGAAGCACACTGGGGAACTGAACTCCCAAACTCTGGCTCCACAGCCTGTTATCTAAAGCACTTGAGCTACCCAGCAATTATCAGTTTAATCTGTACACTGAACATATCATGGAGAAAGCCAGCCTAGATTCAGATGAAGGAGGACTGAAAATGGATGGAAGAAACATCAATAATTGAAGATATGCAAAAAAAAAATACCAACTTTCTCGCAAGAAAGCACCCATGACTTGAAATGATTTTTAGTGAAAGAAGAAAATGCTAATACAGCTTTGAGTTCTTTTAAGGATGGATGGATGGATGGATGGATGGAGATGGATGGATGGATGGATGGATGGATGGATGGATGGATGGATGGATGGATGGATGGATGGATGGATGGATGGATGGATGGATAAAGCAGGACTCTAGATGAATGTTAAGAACACAAAAACCATGCCTACAGAAGAACTGCACAACATTAGCATTGACAAAAAAGAAGCTGAAATTGTTAAGAGATGTTGTATACCTTGCTTCAATCATCAATCCCAACAGAGACTGCAGTCAAGAAACAGATGAAAACTGAGACTTGGAAGGGCAGCAATGGGAGAATTAGAAAAAAACCATCAAGTGTAAGTATGTGTCACTCAAGACCAAGATTATCCAAACTCTTATATTTCTGATCACCATGTATGGGTATGAAAGCTAGAGAGTAAAGAAAGCTGACAAGGAAAAAAACTGATTCATTTCAGATATGGTGCTGAAGAAAAGCTCTGTGGATGTCCTGGACTTCCAGAAAGATGAACCACCGGGTCTTGGATCAAATCAAGCCTGAACTCTCTCTGGAGGCAAAAATGTGGAAACTGAGGTTGTTCTATTTTGGGCACATCAGGACAAGGCAGGATTGTCTGGAAAAGACAATAATGCTGGGAAAAACAGATGGCATCAGGAAAAGACGGGTTAAGATCCCTCAAGGAAGCCACAGGGTTGAGCTTACAAAAGCTGAGCAGGGGAGCTAAGGACAGGACATTTTAGAGATCGCTCATTCATAGACTCACCATAAGTCGAAGTTGAAGGCACATTACTACTACTACTACTACGAAGAAGAAGAAGACGAAGAAGAAGAAGAAGAAGAAGAAGAAGGAGGAGGAGGAGGAGGAGGAGGAGGAGGATATGGATAATACGGATATTAATACTAATACTAATACTACTAATACTATTGATTGATTGATTGATTGATTGATT